CTAGGGAGCAACTAATGCTGAACAGAAAAGGCATCCGACTTATAATGTTTCTCACTGGACATTTCGCAGTTAAATAACATCTTTTGAGCCTAGGTATTATAAGGGACTATAACTGCAGACATTATCACTAAGAAGCGGAAACAGCAGAAAACAGTCTGTGTCACTGTGATAATCTTACCAGACTTAGACTACGGTACTTATCAGCTGCCTATCCACTAATAACGAAAATAGGGAACATCTCTCTTAGGGACATAATGGCATTTTTAACTGCTACGCGTCTATGGAACTAAAGTTGGTTTGTCACAATAATTCTTAAAGGATGCAGTGATGTGATGATATAGTTTCCAACTCTTTCAAAATCTAATCTAAACAAATTTAATTTATATACAAAATACTGTTACCTTATAAGTTTCAGCATATATACTGTTTTAGAAATATTCAAGAATTATAAATTAAAGAACTCGCGTATCAGAAACCGTCACAATTTTTTTCCGATAAATGGGTGCACAGCACTGTGTTACCATGCGAAATTTTAAAGCGATATTTTAAGTAATATCGCTTCATCCTCAGGGATCTCAATATTGATCCGATCAAAAAATACATAAAGGATAGAGCCCTAAAATTATTTGCGAAAACTGACAGACTTACCAACACCGCGTTATCAAATCTCAGAATGGTTACAGGTTTCTCGGGGAGGTATGCAGATCTAAGGTCAATTATTGCTTAGTCTGTTGAAGTGATAAACAATAATCCAGTCAAGGCGTTAAGAGGGGTTTTGAAAATACTTTGAGTTAAGAAAGAGTAAAAGTGCTCGAGTGCACTGGCTCCAATAGCTTCAACATAGTTAATTAAAACTAGAATGCCAAATTTAATGCAATGCATTTTTTGTAAGTAATTCACATTGTCAGAAACACTGAGTAGTACTTTCTTATCATTTCATGAATAGCCTATTTCCCTTTTTTTTGTTTTTAAGAAGTTTTATAAAGAGCATTTTAAACTCATTTTAAAAAATTCAATCGATAAAATATCTATATCGGCTAATATGAATTCGTGAGATTTTATTCTCTTCCCTATGTTGAAATTATCGTTTAGAGAAAGGCATCTTGTGTCATATGCAAAGACAAGCTACCAAGAAGTTTAAGATATATCAAAGCTATAAAAAAAGTCACTAAAGAAGTTAATAGTTACATCTCAATTAGCCTACGAATAATATAGATATTTTAGATAGGATGTATTATCATATCCAACGCTTTCATTAGATTAGTCATTATTACTTGCTATTTAGTTAGTTTTTTTTCTAGTAAAGGTCAGAAATTGTATGAATCTGTAATCTAACGACTTCTAAAAAGTTGGCAAAACGTAGTGGACCAAAATGGATCTATAATTTAAAAAAATATTTATACATTGTACGATGATATTTTTTCATTTTGACCAAGAAAGAAAATAAGCTATAGTTTTCGAACACTCCTGTTATTATGGAGTCTCATTCATGTGGTTATTTCGACCACCGGTTACTTTGACTTCATTCTTGTTGGAGACTCTCTACTACAATGGTTAAAATTAGTTCTTCTTAAGTAATATCTATAAACATATTTTGTATATTTGATACAAATTGTATCGAGTTTGTTTTTGGTGTTTTTGGACTTCATACTATTTCCTATAAAAATAAGGAATAGTAAATTGCTTTATTTTTAATTAATTATTTTTTTAATAAATACTTTTAAATGGTAGTTGTTCTATAAATATTTATATATATTATATTTTTCCTAACAGAAATTTTTTTTTAATTAATTAATAAACAAAATTCTTTTTCAATAAGTATTGTGAAGATCTTCAAAAGCAAATCAGTTGCGAGATGTAATCAAGAAATTAGGTTAACGTTTGTGACAAATCTCACAAGCGAAAAACAATTGACTAATTTTTCGTTTATAGTAAATACAATCATTTTCTAAGTGTGGGTATTGTTTCATGACACCAAGTGAATGTGTAATGAGACCCAGTCTTCGATTGTGATGACTGAATTTTAATTTACGTAAACGAAATCTATAAACGAAAAACAATTGACTACTTTTTCGTTTCCGGTCAACGAAATCATGTTTACTTGCAAAATAATAAAATCTTCACAACAAATGTTACTCTTCTCAAATTCTAGAAGATATTCACTTTCTTTCAAGGATTTATATACTATGCTAGGCGACAGTTTCTATTATCTTTACAGTCACATCATTTCTTCTTATTCATCTATCTAATTTATTATTTTTTTTCGATAGAAACAGAAATTTTTTAATCTTATTACTTTTTTTCAGCATGTTCAAGTCTAGTTTCCGTTCTGTACCTCAATATCTTGAAAAAGGAATAAAAGAAGCTTTAAGCAAACTAATGAAAGGCTAAAAAACTTATTACGAATAATTATTCGTCAACACTTCGCAGAGCTTCATGATAGAAATTACCTTACTGATTATGAACTTGTTTTACCACCAAATTGATTTAATATGGATGAATAGTTGGGTTGATAGCAGGTTGGCCGTTTGGCCGTTTGGCTGCATAGTTGCAAGTTGCTTGGCGGTTGGCAGTTGGTTGAACTGTAACTCTAAAGTCGATTACTCTTACTAATGCTGTTGCTAGAGTGGCTTCTTTGTGGACTTCAATTTTCCAGCAACATTAAAAGATTTTATATTAAAAAGACAAACAGCAGCAGCCCAGAAATAATGAAGCACATACCGAAATGAATGCAAACTTTTACCCGCACCGAATTGGGTAGTGGATAAAAGCAGTACAGCTTCCATAGACGGAAACGAACTAGTTTACTTAACCGAACCGAACTACACTTAAACGAGATCATAGTCAACATAGTCAACAGCCTTTGCTCGTAATGACTTGACGTTGACCGATCGTCGACCGTAAGGCTGACCGATCAAAAGTCGTCCAACTTGCCGGAACTGGCCGCAATGATCTTTTTCAGGTAAGAAGCATTAAAACAACTTAGCACCGCAATCGGTACAACAATTTTAAGCTGCTTCTTGCTGCTCTTACTGTTGCCATTGCCATTGCCTTTGCGCATTGTTGACAGCATCAGTAGTTAAGCAGCAATCCTTAAGTAATTTTGTTGAACTGAGAGTTAGTGCAGTGCTGAAGAATTCAGTATGTTTGCTGTTATGTTAGGTTTGAAATGCAAGCTGCACTTCATCCTATACGTTATGCTATGTTGCGGTCTTTACACTGTCTGACGATCGTTCTCTGCAAGTCATTCGCAAATATTATTGATATTTAGTGTTAAAAGCAAGAGGGACTACCAACGGATATCGTGCGAATTGGCAGTTTTGTGATTGCGACAAATGGCTTTAAATTAAAAGCGGCTACGTTTCGAGTAGGATCAAAATTTGATGATCAAAACAAATTACAGTCCGTTTTTGCTTTAATGTTTAAATTAAAATTCACCGGTGGCAAAGCGATTAACTGGCACGTAATATGGAAAGCCTTTTTTCAGATAGTAAATGGAGCTATAATTTTTTATAACTTTTTATAGTTGAGAGATCTAGTTCGTCTTATATAAAGATATCTGTATAATGCAATCATATATATTATAACGAATCAATAATTTATACATTTGTGAAGAAGGTGTCTCCAGACTATTAAATTTAATGAAAACTAAAGAAGTTTTTAATTTTTCTGTCATTTGTCTAATGACACTCATATTATTTCCTCTACCAGCGTAATCAAGTCAGACATTGGAAGTGACCCTCTCATAACATGACTTTATGCAATATTTTATTAGCCACTGTAAAGTTCAAGTCGTGACATACTTGAATTGGGTAAGAAGTATTAAGCGTTATAATCTAAATTTTCAGATTTAAATTCCAAGTTGGTTCAAATAATGATAATAGTATAGCCACCGAAGTATTAAGCAGGCTTAAAGCCTAACTCGGATCAATTTATAGTAATAATTTTGGTATCTAAGTATTAAGTGTTAGAACTAAACTTCTTTGTACGAATCTGAACTCAGCTTAAGTTTTGGTTTTATTTTTTTGTTTTTTAGTTTTCAGATAGATACTGTTAAAAATGTATATATTTTAAAATCTAGTTATTCAGGTTCGAACATCAAGTCGAGTCAAGTGATTGTAATGGTAGTGACGCCTAAGCAAGCATTAAAATTGTATTCATAGCTTCAAGTCCCAACTTGGGACAAGTTATTGCAATGGTAAAGGCGCCTAAGTAAGCGTTGAAGTTATATTCATAGCTAACTCGGATCAAATTATATCAATGATAGACGCGTCTAAGTAAGCGTTTAAATTATAATCAAAGTTTTGAGTCCTAACTTGGGTCAAATTGTAGCAATAGTATAAGCGTCTAAGCAAACGTTATAACTATATTCATAGCTTCAAGTCTCAACTCCGGTCAAGTTAAAACAATGTTAGAGGCACATTAAAATTATAATCAAAGTTTTGAGATCCAACTTGGGTTAAATTATAGCAATGGTAGAGGCACCTCAACATTAAGTGTTAAAAGTAAAGTCCCCAGTGAGAATCCGAGCTCGGTATATGTTTTGATTTCCTTATTTCGTTTCAATTTTATCTATTTTATAGATAGCTAGACAGATATTTTTCAAAATATATAAAAAATAATTTTTTTTATACTCTATATTTCGACTCTCCTTGAGAGGACTCTCATCAGGATTACGGTACGTCATCCTCTTTGTGTTGTCGTCTATATTGTACAATTGTACAAAAAATTTTTTTTTATAGTTTTTTATAGCCTTCAGATAGATATATATTATTAAAAATATAAAAAAAATTATATTATAAATAATAATCTTAATACATAAAGATGATTATATGTATATATTATATTATGTGAATACATATCACTTAGAGAGGTATTTTAAATATGAGACATTCGATTTCATATTCTTTCATCTGTATCTTAAAAAAAATTGTACTGTATGCGTTTATATTTGTAAATTAAAGGACTTAATATTACTTAATTGAAGAATCTTGACTTACCTGCACATAACAGGCGCATATGTCAATGCTGCCCACGAATGCGCAAACATCATCCACTGTCCATGAATTGACTTCTGCGCTTTGTGCTTGGCAGGTTACTGACCCTTTGGCTTTTGTTGTGGATAAAATTGTGGTGGTGGCAGTCGTTGTTGTCTCATCGTTATACGTTGTACTAGATCCTGGTACGGAACCCTTATCCGATAATGGTGGTGATGGTGATGTGGATGCGGATGAAATGCGTCTTGTACTAATGCCTTCAGTGCTGCTGCGACTTGAAGTGGATTCAGCCTTAAATCTTTTAGCTGCGGGTGGTTGTGCGCTTAAGTCCAGTGGTGCTGTTGTTCCAACTGACTTATCATTGGCAGATGCATTATTGCTATTGGTATTGTCGCTGTTGTTGTTGCTGTTGCCAATATTACCGCCGATGGAGTTAGCATTTGTGGCGATTACGCGTGCATTAGCACGTGTGTGTAATGGACTAGATTGGCGTACTGCTTGGGAATGTGCCTCTTGAAGTTGACCTGAATATATCAGAGCAGGTGAAGCGAATTGTGCTGCCTGTTGCAGTACAATATTCAAACTGGGACTGGGCGATAAGGAAACATTGTTTTGGGTACGTTCACTGTTCTCATTTGCTTTTTGTGCACTGCGTATCTCTGATTCCTTAGCCGCATGTGCCTATCAATTAGGATTTGAAATAAGCAGATAAAGTGAAAGGTAAAGTAAAATAATACAATAAACAATAAATAGAAATGGAAAAAATAGTTACAACAATTTACTTACCAGTGTGATTAAGGCTTGTGTGCTGCTCATATCAAAAATTGGTTGCATAACACTGGGCGAATATAGACTAGACAGTAATGATGTCATAAATGGTGAAACACTAACAGCTGCAGCTGCAGCACAAGCGGCACTCAACTGACACTGGGCACTCTGTGACTTAAGGCTGGAGGAAGTAGCATCTGTGGGCGACATTGATGATGGTCTTGTCGTAGCTTGAGTAACATTCGTTGATTCTTTTTTTAAGGAACTTGTTGCAGTATTGGGAGTGGGTTTACTAGTAACTGGAACTTTACTATTACTTGGTACTGGCGTGGATGAAATGTTGGCATATGCATTTCGACGCGTTGCATTACCACTAAAATTTCAAAAAGACGTTAAAACAAAAACATTAAGAGCACTTTTTCATTTTCTGTCGCTGGACTTACTCATTCGGATTGGAATTATTGTATTTTGCAGCTAAGCTACGCATAAAATCTGAGTAGTTGCGCGTTGGAAAATCTGCAGCTATGCCGCTGACTGCAGCACTAGATCCCAATGCGGCGTTACGTGATTCTGTTGGTAGTTGCGCTTGATGCATGCTATTCAGTAAGGATCCCGGCAGGCCATGCATTGGTAAATGGGCTTCTTGAGTTGCGTTATGTGGTGCTTGCGGTGGCGTACTTCGTAGCGATAAGGGTGTGGCGCTGCGAGACCTGTAAGTTTGATAGAATATAAAAAAAAAATAAATAAATAAATATTAATTTGCTACATCATTTACATAAACCACAAATTTATCTTTACTCAACAGGTCAGTATCTTAATTGACAAAACGAGATCTCATAAATATGTTAATTAAATTATTTGACTTTTAACACATTTATTATTTTTGTTCAGACCTATACAATAGGTTAAGCAAAAGGAAACAGAACCAGAAACAACGGGTTCTAACTCGATTTACACGAATAGTAAAACGTAATTATGATAGAGCGAGCGTAGACCAAAGAATACCTTACATTTTAAAGATTGTTATTAAGTTATAATTTAATTATAAATAAATTAAAAACGCAAATATAAAAAATTATTTCTATACTTTTACATTTAAACCACTTACTATACAATAGATCATATCTTTAACTAACACAACAGGGGCATAGGCCTAAGTGAATCCGATACACCCACCTTACGTAGGGTGTAAAGGCAGTTAAAATTTCTACGAAGCATAAAAAGTGAATGGATTTAAGTACACCTTAGTCATTACAATCTTATATTGATGGAACAAAAAGCTCAAGTAATTAGTATCTAATAATTAGTATTAGTTTAAAATTTTCGAACATCAAATAATGAACACGTAACTGAAGAGGCAATATTTAACAACAAATTTAATATACCAATACATAAGAGTGTAGGGCATAACATTATGGATTGAAAATAAATTTACATAATTTATAAAATATTTTTATATTAGCATAAAAATTCTTTACGGGTTAAAATATGATATATGTCAAATATATCAAAATATTATGCTAAGACTTCAAGAATTCAGTTGAACTTTTATCTATTAAAGTTTTTGTTAATAAAGAATGTTTTGTTTTTTTTTTTTAAAGAGTAACTTCTCAAAGTAAAAATAAATTAATATAATTGCAACAAATAAATAAAGTATCAAACATTAAAAATTCGATCTACAATACAATACTAATTTTCCATATTTTCTTAAGGGCGCATCTCAGTGATTGCTTATAAAGCTGGAATCTTCATATACTTCCACAGAAGAGACCATGCCACAGTTTTATATTGAGAGATTATGCAGTACTTAACACATTCCTTTAAAAATTATTGTTTTTCATATAGTAAAGAGTCTTTAATATAAAATATGGTCACCCGTTTATGAAAGAATAAATCATACTTCATAACTATGTTCTGAATGTCATTGATGAAGATATTTCCACTTGCCGCATTTTTCAACAATCATGCCAATGTTTTTCCAAATTTCCCTTAGTTAATAGATTGTTCAGTATCAGCTCTTCGAGTGTGCTGTTATAGAAAGAAGTCTCTACTCAAAGAAAATCCTGTTAATATGGTTCCATTGAAGGACTTATCTACTTAACTTGCTTAATTAATCTAATTTTTGAGTTTAAATAATATTAATAATAAAATATTAATATATATTAAAATATTAATTTTGTTATTAATTTAATAACGAAAGAAACTATTTTTTGAATAGAACAATAATGAATTCTAACTAGAAAATAGATCTCTATGTTTACTTTATTAGTTTAAAGTTTCTTCTGTACTATCTGCGCTGTAAGAGATGCTTCATTAGGGATACTTTCCTAAAGAAAATTACATTTAAAATAGATTTAGTTATGCTTCGTAGCTATTATGCTTTAATATTTCGTTATTTTGTGTTCGGAGTGTTCGGGTCAAGAACCGAGTAAACAAGACCCAAGCAGAAATCTCAATCTTCGAAAGATTTGCTGAATTTAATCTACACAATGGTTACAAAAAACGAAACTCTACACATTAGGAGATGTCAAGTTACCACTTGATGGTATGCAACAATCAAGCTGCTACTTGCAGCTTATATGAAGTTGACTTTAACTTTGTATAAATCTGTGGGTCTTGAGAAATTAATTTTGTTTGGAAAGAAAAAACAAAGTTTAGGGCTTAAAGCTCCTAACAATGATAAGGTCTAAACAGGTCTACGCAGTCTACAAGCATATTAAAGAGTTCTAAAGGATTTTCTGCAAGTCGTACAGATTTAAGACATTTAAGATTATTGAAAGGCAACCACAATAGCAAAATATTTAAATTCTGAAATAGTGTCTCTAATATCCAAAGGAATGTAAACCCAGCTATTGACTCTCTGTTGTTAGCTTAAGAAACATCAGAGTAATAAATGTGTTATATAAAGTTTCATGGATAAGTTCTATAGCTGTGTCGCCAGAGCACATACTAGAGAATTATTATTCGCTGGTATATAGTAAAAAAAGTACCGGAGATCATATATGATAGCAGACATTAAGTTACTATCTTTAGATCCAGTCAAAATACTTGAAAGCAACGAAATTGAATAAATGTGTTATATAAAGTTTCATGGATAAGTTCTATAGCTGTGTCGCCAGAGCACATACTAGAGAATTATTAGTCGCTGGTATATAGTAAAAAAAGTACCAGAGATCATATATGATAGCAGACATTAAGTTACTATCTTTAGATCCAGTCAAAATACTTGAAAGCAACGAAATTGGATAATCTATACTAGAGGAGAGCAGTACATAAATAAATAAGCGGAGAATTAAGTAGCGGAGCTTAAGTTCTTCAGGTTACAGATATATCTTTATTATGGTATAAGTACAAATTATACAAATTTGGTATCTTCAATAATCGGTTGCTTTATTTATCGGCCATTAACTGGTGGTTCACCCTTATTATTAACAGTTTTCAAGAACGTTCTTATCCATTGTTTTCATATCTTTGGTGCAAATTTTGGAATCAATGAAGATGACTATCATTTACAATTTATGTGATTGGTGATACATAAAATTAAATTCTATTTCAACTCTTTGAGAACTCTTGTCATTTTATAATACAAATATTTTTGCGGCACTAATTTTACAAATAAAAAGAAGCACATTAAAGCGGCTTAATGATTATAAATTATAAATAAATTAAAAAGTGATATTTTAGTTTAAACAAAAAAGTTGTGACGCACGAATTTTGATATTTGTCATTTTAGTTTTTAATAAACAAATTTTGCATAAATTATTTTCTTTTATTTTGATAAATCTTTAATGGTTAATTTTGTATTGACTTTGTTTTGGTTTGCTCGGAGTTTCTGGTTTATGCAATCTTTATATGTTAATTACTATTAAACACATAATTTAATTTTTTTTTTCTATGTCTAATGAAACATGCTATTCAAATAAATAAAAAAAAAACACAAAACCATTCCAGTTCTCTCTTAAAGGTACTTTTTTTAACGATCATTGGCTATTTAGACAGATTAATAGCTCGGATGATGGTACAATATAGATCTGCTTTTAAGTAGAGGAAACTAACTCATCAGATATAAGTTTTTCAGTTTAATGGGGATAGTTTATATAACAATAGTTTATAATTATACATTCAAAGAGTGTTTCTCAACAGGTGATTCCTTCAATGAAGCAACATTGAAAATGTTGATCGATTATCGAAAAGCCAATAGGATATTTGCATATATAATTCCTTGACAAATCATCATTAAATTGTAAAAAATGACTTCCAAAATGAGAAATGCATAAGTGAGCTTCTCCAAAATGACTTCTAAAACAAGTGCTCCATAAGAATCGTATAAGTGAGCTGCACCGAGATGACTTCTCAAATCAGTGCTCAATAAGAAATCCATTCAGTGAGCTTAACTAACTTTACGATCAACAAAATCAACTAACTAACTATGGCTATTCAAAAAAGGATTCAACAATTTCGCAACAATTTTATTCTTATGGATACCATATTATCTCCCAGGATTTGTAGAGTGTAAAAAGCTGAAGTTATCAACCCCGTTAAGGCCAGCGTTGAGAAACATCCTTATATATCGAATCGACTTCGTCCATAGGAAGTTGATGTATCTGTCGATGTTTGAAAGATTCTAAAATGTATTTGTTACAAAAATTAAAGTTCCACAGCCATCGTTTGTACTGTGACTTCAGTGAATGTACGCCGAAACGGTTAGAAAGCAATCCTCTTTTTTACCAAATAATTTTATTGCTATATAAAATGGTCTATTTTTCTTTAGTTGCTTTAAATAATAAGTAAAATTGATGCATTTGCTAAAAATAAATCTCTTTCTATTCTTTCATATTGACGGATTTCTTCTTTTTAAAAATGCACAAATATGATTAAGAATGGTTTTGGTTCCTATAAAAAAAAATAATTTAATGACATTATCAACTTTAAAAATTGAACCCGTTGCCTAGATAGTAAATTTATGTGATGTGATGTCGCTAGATAATTTTCTGTGGGTATTTAATTAACGAGATATTCCGAAAAATCTTCAGTGTGATTTAGGGCTAGCATTATTGCAGCTCACTTTTTTATAACCGATTATTTATTTCCAAGAGTCATCAACTGTTTCTTTCATATAGAACGACATCTCCTGCATGAATATGATTTGAAATATGATATTTCTAGAACAACTTTCGAGTTATTAAAGAAAGACTTTTATGAATATTAATCTCCGAAAATGAACCTGTTACCTGTTCACCAAAATCATGTGATTCTTAGACTACTTCTTGTGATATACTTTAAAATGTTAGTCTATGTGGATAAGCCAGCATGGATTTCAGCTTTTAAATTATTTGTGCAGTAACCTCGTTGTCATCTATATACTTTTAATACTTGAACTACTTTTCATTAGTTCATACCATATACAATAGCTGTTAATCTCTAGTTGGACAACTTAATTTCTTCATAAATTTTGCGCTCAACTATATCTAAGGCATTACCATATGTCTTTCGCATCTTCTTGACTTCTTGATTCTTCTTCTTGAGTTAGTGTTATTACGCACTTTTACTCTATAATGGCTGGGGGGGTTATCTCTACCCCACACTAGGCTTTAACTAGGCTAAGAAATCATATCATTTATTTGTCTTTTAGTTGATGATGCACCTTTAATCAGCATATCTTCCTGAGAGTCCAGAAGTCGACTTGAGTTTTGTTAGGACGGGGTTAAGT